CCCTCCCCACCCCCAGTCTTTCAACTCATAGTCTGACCAGTACACATGTTCTATCCTAGAAGTGGTGGCAAGGCAGAAGTGATCCTTGTGTATCCCCCTATCTTAATGAGGTGTGATTGATGCAAAGCTTGATTGGATTTTTAAAATATAGAAAGCATCAGATAAGCTGGTGCAGAACTGCAAACTATCTCTTACGAAAGACCATTCCCATTCAAAGGGGTGTAGGTTGTAGCCATGTTGGTCTAAGGACATGGGCAGACAAGGTTCTTTGGGAAATCTGGTATCTTTTTATTAGACTAACTCAAATAGTTGGAAAATTTTTTCTAGCAAGCTTTCGGGTATATGTACCCTTTATCAGGCTGAGGAAGCGTCTGCAGTTGGTGTGAGCTCTTCAAAGGCACTCTAAACCAAGTTGGTTCCTGGCGGGGCAGGTGGAGGCAGGGGTGAAGGAGCATTTTTATTGGCTCTCTCTTCTCGAGTCCCAGATCGGTTTCAAATGTACAGCCACTGATGTTTTAGACCGTTTTATAAACTATATCTTAAGTGGGAGGTGAAGGGGTAAGAGGCAAGGGTGGTGTGGAAATGTCTTCAAAAGGAACACTTCTCTTGCATTGATGTTTTATTCCTTAGGAATCTATTGGGTCAAAGACTGGTGAAGAATAATAGAAGCATGCTGAGATCCTGCTTCATAGCTGGAGGTTTAACTTATCGTCTTCAAATGTAAATATGTTAGAAACACATTCCTCTATTTAGAACTGGTTGACATCCACATACGAACTGAGAAAAGAGGCCCTTGTTACACTTGATGCTGTAAGCCGCACAAATGTTGATTCGCATAGTGCTAGCTTTGAGTCTTGCTTTTGCTTTCCACCTTTAGTAATGCTGGCATTGACCTCCTCACCCATTATTACAATGCTGAGTGTAACCAGGTAGAAAAGAGCATTTTATGCACTGTTTAGCTCTTGACCATCTCTTAATTTGTAATGTAATGCAGCACTAATATCAATTGGTAACCAAGTCAATAACATGTCAAATGAAATCTTTATTGATGGTAAGAAATAGTGAAACAACTTGGTGCATATTTTAAAGAGTTTTCATTTACCTGTTTACCAAAAACATGGCGTGAGAATTATAGATCTTATATTTCTCCTTATTGCTATTAAATATCCTCAAAACTGAATTTCAAGTTATAAATTTAAAGTTCTGCTCTCATTTAAACAACTCCATGAAAGTAAAAACAATTGGATTCTATTCTTTGTATATCTCAATTCGCTTACAGATGGAAATGCAAGTAGTGAAGCTCACCATACAACTGATGTGGATTGGTTTTTGTTTGTTTGTTTTAAACTTATATTAGTGATCACTTGTACCAAATGATTCTGTTTCATTTGTATTCTTCCTCCTCCTCCCACCATCCATCAGGTTCTGGAATCTGCTAGAGCCTTTATCTAATGTCCACCATAGATGGCGATACTTTTCCCACTACCTCAAGTGGACAGTGCATCTGGTAGGCAAATCTCATTTCTGACTTTAATAAAACTATCCAATACTACAAGATTCCATCATGCGTAAGGCACCGCTACTCCCTATACAAAAATTGAGAGGTGCACATAATGGTCTCTAAAATGCATATGATAAGATTCATCGTGAACTTTCCTTTAAGAAAGGTAGCTGAAATTGTAAAGTATATTACAGATCTCTAGAAATCCTAATTTCATAGGTCAGCTAAGGTTTTCTGTCCTTGAGCCTGTGAAATGGCTCCTGACATCCTTCATCTGGGACAGTTAAAATGCAAGCAACAAAAAAGATGGATAGAATAAAATTGAAAGTAACGAAAATAGTGTTAGTTTGAGTAAAAGGTGGGGTGAGAAAGGGGGAGACCTCCAGTTAACATTAAAACACTGAGGATTCATACAGAAACCAGGCAGCAAATATTAATCAACTTGTATAGCTAGTTTATGCAAATGATAGTATACAGTTATTTTAAATAGGCTTACTGATGTCGTTGGAGAGCTGATCATTTTTATTTGGACTCTTCCTTACTCTGGAGGAATATAAAAAAACAAAGCTAACAAATCCGGATATAGAAGAGCACTGCTGAGTTGATTAAGTTGTAAGACATTGAGCATCTCGTTCAAGCCTATTGAAGGAAGTTGGAAAATATTTCTACTTTTTATTTTCAAAGGAGTTTGGATCAGTTCTATGCACAATAGCTCCTGGAGCTTAATACCTGGATGAGGAATAAGACATGTGAATGGCAACAAAATTAAATGTAATAATAAAAATGACATTTTGAGTCTTCACTATTTGTGAACCTGATCCTATCACAATTACACACAAAAAAAACCTCCCATGTATTACAGTAGGGGGTACCTGCGAATCATCTATTCAATAACTCCTTCTGTGAGTTATAGGTTGCTCCAGATGTAGCAAACAAGGAAGTTTCATAGAAACCAGTTAATTCACAATCAGAATTTACAATAAAGTGACACTATATCTGAAACCAGGAATTAAGGTTCAGGGAAAGTAGTTACCAAATCTCTGAAATTTTCTATTGAAGAATTCAATATACATATATTATATATAATAATTTATCTTTCTAAACTGACTTTGTGATTAAATATTTAAATATGTATACAGTACATGAAAGAGACTTTTTCCCCCCCTAATGTATGATTCCTGGCAGTTTACAATTTTTAAAACTTTTGTTTCCTTTTCCAGACTAGTTACACTCTATTGTTGTATTCAAACTCTGATTGTATAAATAAAAAGCTTGGCCTTAGCTGAAAACACATGCTCAGTTATAGGATTTCTCTTTTTCTTTTAGGGAGTGCTATTGAAAATCTCTGACTTACTCCATTCTTGGAAAAATTTAAAGCTAAACTGGAGGGGAAAACTTGATAAACAATGGCAGCACTATGGCTCAGTCCTTAAGAGCTTGTAGCACCCAGAGACTTCCAACATTACAGTGGGCAGTCTGCACTTCTGAAAATCAAGTGTCTACCATAGTAGATGATCTTGCCCTGGCACTTTTGGGATTGTAAGCCAGTATTTTCAAAAGTAGGCACCAATGCAGAAATTACCTGTTTTCAAAGTGCAGAGCCCTTACAGCTGCTTTGTCAGTGGCAGCCAGGTGCTCAGCATCACTGATGAAAATTAGGTTGCTTTACATTGACTGGGGTATCTGACATTGGATGTCTCTCAGAACAAATTTGGCTTGAGGGTTTTTCCCTCTCCCCTACTATTAGCCTCTACTGAGGAGGTGTCTTCAGCAGTAGCTCAAGCTATGACAAATGCAAAGACTTTTACTGTCTGTTCTCTGCTGTTCTTCAGCAACGGCTGCCTCTCACCACCATGAGAGGGGGATAATGAGCCTTAGCAGCATTTCCCTAGAAGGCAATAAACAAACAAAACATTCAGTTCAATCTGCTGCAATATCATTTCCAATGCCAAATTTTTGAGTGCACTACTCTTCTGCTTGGCTTTGGATAAATACTGCAAGTAACAGGACTTTAGGACCCTCCCAGTACTGGGGTTATTTGTGTTCAGGCCAAGAGCAGGGGGGCTAGACCTAATGATCTTACGATGTCCCTTCCGGCCCTAAACTTCCGTGAATCTGTGACCCATTCAGAATGTGTGGCCTACTCCACAGTCTCTTGATGCCACTGAGCATCTTTCCCTTGAATTCAAATGGCCCTAGATCAAGTCGTAAGGTAACTGCTACCTTTTATGACCATCCAGCTAGGAAGCCTGCAGCTATGTAGCACAAACTGGTAATCATAACATACCTTTTTTATCAAACATCTATGAGCACGTGTTTAAAGTGGGAAGAAGCTCAGAAACTTCTTCTGGTAGGTCTGGAAAGGTCATTCCTCTCAGGCTGCTTGGCAAGCTGCAGCCCTGCAAAAAATGAAGGATTTCAAACAGTCAAGCGTTTTCCACAGGGCACAAGGGTCCTGATGAGGAATGCACAGGTCCTGACATGCAGGGCTGAGATTCCTCTCCTTTGGCAACATGCTTAGCAGAGTCTAACATGACAGCAGGGGCCAGCTTGAAATGAATTATTTTACTGTCATACAGTGTGGCTTCCTTTCCCCCCCGCCCCCCACTCATCTCAACAGCACAAATAAAAGGAGCACTTGGATAACCCTTGCAATGCTCTTACACCTAAATGTGCGGTGAATAACAACTCCATTGCTTTCAGCTTCTTGCTGGGCTCTTAGATTCCTGTACAGTCAGGAGACTCTTATCAGGCAAATTCTATCAATAAGGTAGCTGGAAAGAGGGTGGAAGAACTATCAATGCCGATGATCTGCTCAACCTTGGACAAGATGCCAATAAAAGCTTTGGTGAAATTGCAGCTTTACTGTCATTACTGACAGGAGTCCTGTTGGCTCTAACAGGGCAGGATTTTGCCCTTGGACTTCAACCCTGTGCATGGTTAAGGTCCTAAGTAGCTGTTGGCATTTTGTTGTTTATAAAGCTGTTAGGAGTAACTGAACTGCACAGCAGCAGGCAGGCAGGCCATAAAAGTCACTTAGTCAGCAGAGCTGACTTCTGATGCAAGTGCATAAGTTACTCTATGCTGGCCCCTTATCAGCACAAGAGCAGAACCACTGCTGGGATCAGTCTCTTCAACCTGTGCCCTGTGGTGACTGCTGATGCAGCACCTTAGCATCCTACTTTCTCATTAAAATGCTGTAAACCCCTCTAGCCACCCAGAATAGGGAAGGTGCAAAGGTGGCCCTTTGCCTCTCTTTAGCATAATCTCCTGCACCTGCTGAGGTCAGAGCCAGGAACCTCCACTGCCATGTTTGTATTCACTTCTAGCTTAAATCATGGTGTTTTCTTCATGGGATGTCAATTCTATAGTGGATGTAACACGATCATTCCCCAAACGGTATTACCTCTTGAGAAAAGTCCTGCCCCATGTGGCTGTGAGACTGCAGGAAAAGCATCAGCTCATGATTCTCTTGGGCTTTTAAATAGGAAGTTGTAGTTTGATAGGATTTCAGTATCTAGGAAAGAGGGAGACAAGATTCTTTGGGTAAATCCAATATATTTTACTAGACCAACTCAAATAGGAAAGAGGGAAGAATCTACAATTAAGCAAAACAAACAAATCTGGGGGCCTAACAAACAGGCGGAGGTCTTGGACTCACCTGCAGGCCATGGTCTGCACCCATTTGTAGTAAGCAGCTGATTCCCTCAAGAATTTGATCTCTGCGCAACTTGAGAAACCTCCTTGCATCGGTGGTGATGTCTTTTCTTTGGGCTTCCACCATTAACATAGTGTGAGCACGTGCTGCACAATGTAATGGGGTTAAACCTGAACATGAAGAAGCAGAGCAATGTCAACTGAAGGTTGAGGACCGAATACCTGACATAAGTCTATTGCTTGGTTATGTTGGCTTTATTAATATTGATCCTAACAAAATATGACATTCAGCTCGAGCCTTCATCCTGGGTACTTTAATGTCTGGAGTTTAAAATGATTCATCCTAGATTAAAGCCAGAATCTGGAGCCTTCAGTCATAGCTAAGGCTGCATCTCTTACCATAATGATCCGGTACGTTCACTTCCACTTGCAGGCCCCTTGCCTCACAGTTTCTCAGAACCTGAAATAAAGACACAGGCGGAACGTAAACTCTGGTTTGGGCACTGCCACAATACACAAGAACAATGAGTCTGAGGGACTTCATTTCATTGCTGGTGGCAATGTAACCATGTCACATCAACGTCAGTTTTCACATACAGAAAGACAGCTGTTTGGTGGGGGGCATTCACATGACTGTTCTAAGATGCGTGAATAAAGTCTGTGTATATGAGCGTATAATAAAAAGGAGTCTCTAGTTAAAGATCTGCTTACTTCCAAAACTCTCAAGTATCCATTCTCTGCACTGAGATGGAGTGGCGTTTTCCCCAAACTGTCCTGTTCATTGACATTAGCTCCCAGGGAAATCAGGTCACTGGCCATCAGGTGCTGGTTCTTTTCAACAGCTAGGTGTAAAGCAGTCTGAGAATAGGAGAGAGAATTCAGAGTACACGTTGGAAAGGCTTTATGGCAGTATTGGCTATAGGCTGGAGAACAGATGTGGAGTGAGCACCTCTGGCTGTGAGTGAGAAGTGAATTGTAATGGCTGCAGCAGGCAAAGCTCCTTGGTTCTAGTTCTACCTCTGCTTCTTATCTGCTTTTGTGCTCTTGTGTGAATCACTTCTCTTCACCTATATGTCTCATTTTTTCTTATCTGTAAAATCATGAAATGACTACTGAATTCAGTGGTGTGTTAAACATCTTAACTACTGCTTGGAAGGTGCTTTGAGAGCCTTGCCTGAGCTATGAAAGTGCCCAGTAACTTTTACAACATAGCAGCCTACCCGTTTTGCTGCGTCCTTCTCATCAATTTTGTTCAGACATGCGTATCTCCGTGCAAGTGCATAAACCAGTGCTCTCTTTCCCTGAGTGACAGCTTTGTGCAGCAGCCTGCAAGAGGATAGTTTTAAAAATATTAGACAAAGGTGGGAAAATGTTCTCAAATAATCAGAGGGAAGAAGGAATATGGCTGGGGGGTCCTTTTTGCTTTCGTAAACTAAAAGCATGCTAGTGTCTAACATTTGGGTTGGGCCAGCAGTTACTCAGCTACTCTGTACAAATTGAAGAGGGCACTGGCACATTCTGTAGTATCTGCAGACCAGTCTTACTGCACAAAGCAGGGTGTCTTGTAGGCTTCTAATTCCCTTCACCCTCCCCTTACCCCCCCCCCCACCATGAACACTGTACTATACTTCCCAGGGGTTCCCTCCAACTCTCCCCTGTGTGGGACTGTCTGTGTCCATCATCCCCCAACCTTCCCAACAGGGTCCCCATGCCCCAGGTGTATATGTACAACTCACAAGGGGGAAAAATCCTTAAACTCCAGCTGGAAAATAAAGTTTTGACCTCTGGGTGAAATTCATTCCATTACAGAGTTTGCCTCAGTACTGCGCCTATAATTGCAGCCCAGACTTTTAGTGCTTTTTCTAACCATGCCTCCATGATCAGTAGCTGCCTCTTCCTTGCATCTAACAGATCAGTCCTAGCACACACGTATGCTCATGTACATGCTTAGCCTACTGCCTTGCATGTTCTCTAGACATGCAGATTTCTGATTAAATGTTGCCCCTGTAAATTCCACTGATCTAGAGATCGATGAAGCTTTTCATTTTCTCAGCTGCAGAGTGTACTATGCACAAGTTTAAAAAATAAAATGAATCCAGATAACACTGCTGGAGATGTTATAGAATTAGCAGTGGGTGGCTAATGATAAAAGACTTACTGTAACAAGGGTACACTGTATACTCTATCATTTTGTTCAGGCACTCAGATTTGTTATTCTGCACAACACTTAGGTTTCCTTGTTAGATTTCATTTCATGTAGTGTTTCAATTTGTTGGGTTCAGATTTCTTTGACCCGTCTTGAAATGCAATCAAGAACTTAAGATTTTGGTCCTTGATTTAAAATCCAATGTCATTGCAGAACAACAAGAAAGATGGCAAGCAGGGAGGTTTAAAAGTCTGACACTTCCAGGGAAGAAATCCTACCTAATCTACATAACAAACAGCAACTCAGAACAGCTCACAGAGACACTCTCATGGACCCAGAGGGACAGATTTTCCATCTCGAGCCCCCTCTGTGCAAAAATGAAGCTTATTTCCTACCTATGGAGACTTTTTACCATCTTTAATTTTCCCAGAGCCTGATGAAGGGCATTTGATCCTGAAAGCTTGCAGAAAAAGAGATTTTTTTTTTTTTTGTGATTTTCTAGTTGGTCTAATAAAAGGTATCATTTCTGAACCACGAGTTATAGATTTTTGCATCAAGTACTTAAAGCATGTGAACCAGGATGGATCATGACTGTGCTGAAACTAAACCAGGATCACATTATGAGCTGATTCTAATATCAGTTTCAAATTGGCTATTTCATGAAGGGAACTCAAGGGTTTGGTTTTTTTCCTTTTGGCAATCAAATATTTGCTTGTTAAACACTTTACTGTAGCAAAACAGGAGCAGTAAAACACTGGCCTTCAATTCAGTTCCACTGAAGCTGCCACTCCCAGTTCTCTGGAAGTCTACTGTGTGTACAGTAGTTAATGTTATGTTTTGGTGTAATCTCCCCACTCTTTTTGTTTTATTACCAGCTAATAATAATAAAGACAATTATCTCCAGAATGTCTGCAGCTAAGAAAACAGCTTAATTGCACATCTCTTTTTTTTTTTAAGGAGTTTTGATTATATTTAATTCCCCCCACCCCCAAGTTTTTTCTGTATATGGCCCAACCTTCAGCCTTATCTGCATTCCCAATCTATCCTGATCTCAGTGGTTTAGCTATCTTTCTGCAGAGACCCCTCTGCAGGTAGGCAAGACTGCTCTCTGAACCAGTGGAACCTGATGCTGCTTGAAGACAAGGCAAATTATATGGATGCAAATGACCACTTATTGCAAGTCTCACTGTCATCCCATGACAGTAACAGCAGAAATGGGAACAAATTGCCAGTATAGACGAAGCCTTAGAATAGAAAAAGCAATTCATTTGCAGCAGAAAAAAAATCAGAGACCTGTTTCCATTTTCATCAGGTTCAAGCAACTTGTCCACTGGAATATTTCTCAGGAGATTCTCTTCCCAGTGGAGCTGGAACTGGAAGAAAGAGACAGCAGAAAGGTCCTGCCGTGAGAGGGCCCCCAAAGTTGACTTCAAATGTGTCACACAGTCTAGGGAGTTTGGACTAGTTCCCACAATCTTCTCTGGCCTTTGTCCAGGCAGGTTGTGGCAGAAATGCCTATCTTGTCCAGAAAGTCCCTGGAAGTTCCTCTGGGAATACTTGGCTGATGTAGCTTGCATCTGCCAGCTGCTCTCTTCCTTGCTTGGATTTGGGAGTGGTACTTCCGAGGACCTTGGGGGTTGCATTTTTGTATAATCATCCTCGTAATAATTCTCTGCCTGTCTGCTCAGTAGTGCATTACAACTGGGGAACAGCTGGCATGGCTGCAATTTTGTCAAGTCCTGGCAGCTTTCTGGAGGGCTACCAGCTAGTGAGGTGCTGCCTTCAGCTTCCCACCAAGCAGATGGCAGGTCTGGGAAGACTGTGAAGCAGGCTGGCTGAGGACTCAGGGACTCTAGCTTAGATTGGCTGCGGTTCAAATCTTCCTCCAGTACCTCCACCAGGATGTCGAGGTCCTCCAAGGCTTTTCGTGATTTCCCAGAACTGTTCTTGCTCTAAAACAGCAAAGGGAGCAGAGAAGAAAAATGCAGATAAGAGGTGTGCCGTTATGAACTACACTCTGTGATATGCCTGCAGAGTCTGGCAGTGCCAAGGGTGGTGTCACACATACCTGTTTGGGCTGTTTCTCTGTATAAGGGTGAGCTCTTCTTTTTTCTGTTGAGAAGAAGAAAACTGCTTTTGGTTATGGTCATGGAAGAAGAGAGCACAAATGATACTTATCCAAAATATTTCTCCCCATAGGAGATCTAGGTGAAGAGGTCAGAATGGCCCCTGAACTTTCATCTCACCCTTGCAGGCCCTACTGGAGATATAGCAGTACACATGCAGCCAAGAAGGATTTAGGAAAAGCTGAGAGCAGAAGCCTACTCTGTCAATCAGTGCATTTACACCAGTGGCTGCTCTGGCCCTATAACTTTAAGGGACTAAGGAGCCAGTGGAAGCATCTGAAAAGTGAAATGATGTGGCCCCATTTTGTGTGTGTGCGCGCGTGAATGATGGAGCATCTCTTTACCTGCTCTTCCTGAGCATCCTTTAGTTGCTTTTGTTTGTCGTTCGTCCTAAGAAAACAAAGTTTAAATGCTGTTGTCTCAAATGATGTATTAGTAGAAGAACATAACGTGCAAAATATGTGGCACGAGCAAAATGGTTCTGATAGAGCTTGTAGATGGTGGATATGTTTACACTGTGATCACTGGAGCTCTTATTATAGCCTTCCCCAAGTGATCTTCAAACTAGCAAGCCTAGGTACTAGTTCCAGCATAGGCTCAGGAATATGGAGCTGGGTAAAAATGAAGGGTTTTACCATGGGATGGGTTTTGCAGCCTATGCCCAGCTCTGTGTTGCTGCAGCTAGTGACACTAGAGCTCGCTAGCTTGGGAATGGGTAAATGAGCTGCAATGTAGACAGCCATCAAAACGATGGGCAGAGTATAGAACCAGCTGCCTGTTCTCAGTGAGAATGAGAACATTCCTTGTTGCCAAGCTCCTGGAAAGCTCCCAGGAGAGCCTCTGCTTTGGGAGGTTCAGCATGAAACTCCACATCTTGATCACCTTGCCAGGAGTGGGTCCATGAGCTGAAAGCAGCAACAGGTAGGTTACAGACTTCTGTGGCTGCTCTGAAGAGGATGCCTATTTGACTGGCCTGTAACACCTATGTCCATGCTGACTTTCCCATTTCCAAGGGATTCTTACCTTGGTGTCATTGGGGTCCATGCCTTTGGAAAGGCGAATCTTTCGCAGAAGTTCCCGCACGGGCAGTCTTACCCTCACACCTACATACTGCCTCTGAGGGGGGTCCGTGCTAAGCCCAGGGTCTAGAAAAACCAGAATATGGGACTTAAAGATTGCTACAAGGTAGTGAAATGCTACG